GCCCCAGGAGCAGCCTGCGTGACGGGGGGGGGGGTTGGTGAGCTGGGGAAGGGGTCTGGCTGGTCTGTGGAGAGGATTGTCGGTCTCAGGATGGGGGAAGGGGCTGGGGGGGCGGCTAAAAATAGCCTGGTTGCATGGAGGGGCTAGGAAAAATGCAGCTGTGGGGCTGGGGCCAGCGGCTAGGCATTCCCAGCCCCAGACTTTTCCAGCTCTAGGCTTTCCCAGCTGGAAACTATACAGAAGTTCAGTTAGATTGGTCTTGCTGGACCCAAGATAAGTTAGACCATCTCAAAAGTACACTTAACTTAGATTGGGCAGTCATTTTTACACTGATCTAACCAGCCTGAACTTCTGTTCAGTTCATACATAGATTTACCTCAATAGTGTAAAGTCCATACTTGGGCAGACTAAGTTAGATTGACTGACCATTTTTTAATGTGCTCTAACCTCTCCCTAACTTTCCCAAGTGTCCTTTGTCTGCTTACTATCTTCATTTTACGCAGAGTTTTATGACAAAAATATTTTTCTTATCAAGTTTCCTTTCTGGGATAATGAAGGGAGGGCAATTTTTTCTTCAAATTTTCTTTAGTTTAAAAATAAATCTAACACTTTATGGAGAAAAGAGTAAAAAGATTTTTTTTTTAAAAGTTACATCCCAATAACTGGCTTTCTTCAAGAGATGTTGTCCATATGCACATTCTCGCTGTGTGTTGTCAAGTGCTTCAAGCACTCATATTTGAAGACCTTTTTCCTTAACAGCATCTCCACACTGCACACTTACACTGCCTCTCCTTCTGTGCCATGCCAAAGACATAAAGGACAATACAAGTTTGGGCTTAGGAAGTAAATGTTCACAGCCATGCCTGAATCTCTGAAGTGTAGTCTGGTACACAGCATCATACTGTGTAGCTGCAGGAAGCCATGCGGCCCTATGATGGACAGACAAGTCCTTTCTGATGTCACCAAATTGTCCTTGACCTTCTCGGGGCCTTTTGTTGATGGTGGATGAAAGTAAGAAAAGCAAGGGAAGATTGCTAGGACTATCTTTGCCTTAACTGTGCTCTCTCTCAGTATATGGTAGACTCCAAGGGAAAAAAACAAGGCCCTCAAGTACCTAAGAGAATGCAATGCCCCATCAATATATGTGTTACAGAGCTCTTCTTCTGTGCCTCATTTGAGAATCCAGACAACTGGAAACCAGAAACCACCAAATGGAAGAACTGTAAATGTATCCCTAGACTTTAGAACTAGAATTTCAGTGAATACTGCAAGGTGCTTGTAAGTGCAAAAGTCATATTATAGCAATAGACAATGACAGTTCACCACCTTGAACTGCACACTAATAGACTAGATAAGAAAGTGCAAGGTCAGTGTAAAAGAATTCAGTGTCCTTAAAGAATACTGGTATTGTTTGCCACTTTTAAAGCAGCTGGAGCAGAGATAGCGTATGTCAGTCAATCCTTGCTGGGTCCATAAGGGCCTCTTTTATAGACAGAATCTTTCTGGTAGGGAGAAATACCTGAAGTATATTTACTAGATTATGTGATGGCTTATCCACATCCTCACAGGGTTTTACAGTGCCTGGGTAACCCATTTTATGCCATCTTTGAAACATCTAAATCAACTTGCTGAAATGCTGTCAGGGAGGGAACAACATCATCTGGAAAGGAAAAGGAGAGCAGATTGGCATCAGGCAGTTTTTCCATCTTAGAATTTAGATGAGATAGAAAATATGAATCATGAGAAACATGACTTATAAGGAAAGACTGAATGACCTAGAAAGACCTAATCTGGAGAAGATAAAACTGATGCTGGTTCTAAAGAAGATGGAGATGGAGTATTCTCTGTGGCTCTGAGGGACAGAACTAGGAGCAATGGTCTTAAACTGCTGTATGGATTTTTAAGTTAACTATTAGAAACAACTTTTTCAACATGTTGGTAGTTGAGCATCAGAACAGGCTACCTAGAGATGTTGTGGCATTTCCATCCTTTTTAAGAGCAGGTTAAGATAGTCACTTTATTGGGATGACTTAGTCAGGGATGATTCTGCCTTGAGGAAGAGGTTGGACTAGATGGGGGTGGCCAGTTTGCTGCAAGGATGTCACAGGTGGCTTGGGCAAATGCTGTGTGTGGCATGCAAACTCTGGGCACTCAATAAAGAGAGATACCAGAACAGAGGCAGGGGCTGCTTGAGTCTCTGGGCTATGTGGAGCAGAGGAGTATCAAGACACTTCTGTGAGAGGAAATATCACTGCAGAGAGTCCTGCACTCTGAAACTGGAGGCCAACCCCATGGATTATCCAGGAAGTGGGCCTGGAGCCTAAATTCAGGCTCTTTTCTTGTCTGGAAGGTGAAAGATCTATTTCTACAGAGTATGGTACTAAGACTGAATATGTCCATCTGTAATGGACTCTATTTAAATCCTAGAGATCTGAAGGAAGCCAGGATGATGGTCAGGAAAATAAATTAAAAGGGGAATAAAAATATTACCAAAAGGAAACCTGGAAAGTATGCAGGAATATGGGGGAGAATGGAGCCTCACTATGTGAATCTACATGACACATTTTACCATGCAGTAGACTAATCTACTGCACAGTAAAGCATCACAATCTACACATGCGGGGCATTTCCTGCACAAAAATTATGCTACCATGCAGTTACCTAGTACCTGTAAATACAGGTACTAGATTAACTGCACAGTAGTTACTGTGCAGTACTGCACTTGTAGATGCTGACCAAGAGAAAATTTGCTTCCAGTCAGCCTAGGCTACAGGGGGCCACAGGAGACAGGGAGCTGTCTGTTCCCAATCCTGACTCCCAGTGCTGAGCTAGGAACTCTGGAGAGTAGAGGCTGAGAACTCAGCCCCTGCTCATGCTCCAGAGCAGCTCTGTGCAATGCAGAGCTGGGAGCTCCAGCCCCCACTCACTTTCTGGAGTTCCCAGCTCTGCACTATGTAGAGCTGCTCTGGGGGGTGGGTGGGGGTTGCGATCCTAAGCTGGGCAGTTGCTGGCAAGCCCCATGACCCTCTGCTCAGCAGGGGTCTGGCTAGAAACTGCCCCACTTGCAGAACAGTTCCTAGCAATCCCCCTTCTAAGTAGGGGGGTATGCCCAGCAGAAGGCTCACTGGGAAGCCCCACTCAGCTGCAGCAGCACCTATTTCCTGGCCCCATGAACATCAGGTCCCATCCTGATGTTTACAGGTCCAGGAAACAGCTGCCGCTGCAGCTGGCAGAACACCCCTGACCCTGTGCACATACCCTTTCTCAGCCCCTGGGCTACCACCCAGGAAAGCCTGGAGCTCCCCCTGGCTGCTACAGGAGGCCAGAGCAGGATAGCAGCAGATCTGCTCCCAAAATGGTGCTTGTGTAGATGTGCTCCCAGGTACTGTGCAGTAAGCCTAAACCACATTAACAGCACATGTAGATGCGCCCACTGAGTATATCATTGCCTAGTGCAGATCCAGAAGGGACCTCATTGCACTGAAGGAGATGCCAGACGACCAAGAAAACTTAAAGCAGCACAGATTAAAAGATAGAAATGAGAGAGCACTCTCACCAAGTGAGGCAAAAGGCCAAACACCATCCATGCAGACTGAAAACACTCCTTGTAAAAAGGCACTTGAGGAGAACCAAGTAATAGAAAGTGTGCACTATTATTTGCCCTTGGAATTAGGAGACAAGAGGTGCAGAGTGTATATGCTTTATACAGGTACTACTTGGGTAAAAGTTCTCCCAGATTGAGTGCTTGAGACACATATGTACCTACAATGGGAATGCAAGTATGGAAAGGCACTTGAAGCAACCACGTTTTCTGTTTTAATGAAAGAGGATACACTAAAAAAGAATACAAATAAAGGCTATGGAGTAGTCCACCTTTGCCTGGCTCCTGCCACAAAATTATCCTCTAAAATTTAAGCTTTCATTTTAATAAAAGTTTCTAGTTTACAGATGAACTGACTATATTTCATTGGTCCTTTTAAACAGAAGCATCCAGCTAGCTCACTTGTTTTACAATTCCAGACTGCTTCTCCAAGTCTCAAGTCTCAAACACTGCCTACTTTCAGGGAAGAAAACCTTCAGGTTTCTCCCAAACAATATATACCTGAATAACATCCTAACTAAATTTAATTCAATACCAGAATACATATTGAATACCAGAATGCTCTGCCTTCTATGTAATTTATGCAATTGTGCTACTCATTGGAAAAATCCAATTATTAAAACAACTTAAAAATTAACTGGAATGGCCACAGAATTTTTAGTTTGCTGAATCATTACTTTGGAATCCAAGGACCCTGATGCAGAATTCAGTTTCTGTTTGCCATGAATTATATGAGGAGTTAAAAAATATACCATGCATGTTAGGATACGAATTTTATGTATTTTAGAATGGATATTGGTTTCCCAGAAGACCACATGGCTCCTACAAAACTGCTAATAGCATTGCTAAATATAGGTTTTGGTGCACATTTTCAAAAACATAGAACTGCTCAAAAGACAATGATTATTCCTTAGTAAATCTATTAACAAATGAAAAATGTAGCTCTGCTAAGTGGTGCAGGGTTCACTATATATGTGGTTGCAATTCCAGGTTTCCAAGAACCACCTCCTTCTTACTTAAAAGTTTCCCATAGCTAGTCTCTTTCCCTCAGAATGAGGGATATCACTCCCTTATTTTTATCTGTTGTTGATTTGGGGAAGGCTAATTTCCTTCACCCAGTCCCACTGTTCTTTGCTCCTGAAGCCATATGGCTGACCCACTCTTCTGACCTTCAAAAGGACATAGAGCAGCGTGCTGGTGGTCCAACCTGGTAAAACTCTTCCTTTTCCATAACAGGCTCTCTCTCAGCCAGAAGCAGTAATTTAGTAAGTGCTGAGAAACATTCCAGTCTGGCTGTGGTAAGTGGTTCTGCTGAAAGCAGACAGAGGTGCTCCATAGTTACTTGCTTCATAGCTACTAAACTCTTCTTGGCTGCCTAGTTACTGTAAAGGGGATGAAGAGACAGCTGCAGGAGTAATATTTTTCTTTAATGAAGTATTTGGAGTTGAGATCATGGCATTTTTGCAAGAAATACCAGGTTTGTGTTTTAGCAAAGTAAGGAGTAATTAAGCTTTTCCATACTTTAGAAACAGCCAGACATTTTGTTGCTCTTGTTCACATTAAAAAAAACCCTCCTTGGCTGAGCCTTTGTCTGCTGAAGCTTTAGCCTCAAGCAAAGCTGTACTGTGGAGTTAAAACTCCTGGTAAAGTACATTTATAAAAGAAGAACTGATGCAATATTAAATTATACTGGCAGGAGTGGCTAAAATATAATCTTAACAATGCCTTTTTCCTTCAAAAAATGTTTCTTAAATAGAAAAAGATGTAGCTGTTAAAAGGCAACACACGCACATTATATCTATAAATCTATAAACCTTCATTTACTCTGTTTCTAAGACATTTCCTTTTCTACTGATCCTGCAAGGGAGAATGATCTTCCTAGTTTCAGAGAATGTACCCTGCAACTTGCAGGTTTAGAACCTAAAGTTTTCTAGACACTTACCTGTCGCAACATGGCGTCCCATCCCAAATACGGCATAAATAATGACGGGAAAGAGAGCGCCATATAAGCCAAATACTGGGTGGACTGAAGACAAAACAGCAAAGGCCAGCCCTATAGAAAATACAATGAGAATTAATAAGTTATACATGCACCAAGACACATTACTGTTACTTTGATGAAAGGAAAAGTCCACAGCTTTTATTAATAGCAAGAATAAAACACTTTCAATGATGACATTATAAAAAACTAGGGGATAAGCCAACCACTACCTGGTAGGGCTTAGGACAAAATTTCTACTGGCAAATTTTTCCATAAGTGTCTATTGACACAAATTTTGTGTTGAGGCATCTGGTCCCAAATACTGGCAGAAACAGAACACTGAACTATGAAGACTATAGGCATGATTTAGTATGGCAACCCCTACATTCCCAGGCTGATTAAACTAAACACAAATCCACTGTACCAGGTGCTATTAGGAATATTATATTATAGATTCACTAGAGATGACTGAAAAATTTCCACCAATATTATTTCAGTAGAAACTTCAGCTTTGGACAATTTTTTTTGTATTGCTTTTTACAGCAAAAACATGATTTCTTATCAAAAAAACAAAATCTATTCCATTTTCAGGATTTCAGTTTTGCAATGCATTTTATGGGGGGAAATGTCCAGCAAGCTTTAATAGCTATTTACATAATTTATACCTCTCATTCCTGTAGTATTAGTGTGTCATAAAATCATCTTTTAATATTGACATCCTTTCTGAGGTAATAACCTTATGGCTAAGGTGAAAGTTACAGGAAGCAGTAGAGAGATGGAGTACAGAGCGTTTTGCTTGAAATCATACCCACTGGTCATGTCTGCACAAGACACTGACTGTGCAATTATTACACAGTTATTTAGTACTTATATGAACAACATTGATGCCAATGAATGTCTTTTTTGTGACGCTGCTGCCCGGTAGCCTAATACTACTTTGCAGTAGCATCACAGCATGCGACCCTGCTGCACAATAGTATTGGGCTACTGGTGTCGATGCAGCAACTATGTAAAGGGTACATACAGTACAAAAGTGCCATCCAACATGGCTATACTTCTTCTGATACCCAAAGCTAGCTCAAGTATCTCTGCTCAGTATTGAATTGTGAGATGCAGACATATCCTCTGGCACTGATTATACTCCTGTACCTGTCTGTTCAAAGTGATGGGGCCACATTCAACTCAAAAGTTCAGATCCTGTTGTTATAATAATATATGTAGAGACTCCAGTGGTACAGGAAAATTGTTGGGTGCTCAAGGCCACTGGAAAATGTGTAGATGGATGGATGGTACTGCCTGAAAAACTAGGCAGCAGGACCATTCAGATAATGGAAGTGGTAGGACTCAGTAAATCTTCACTGGGTCATCAAATGTTGGAGGTCCTGACAGGAAGCAAAGCTACCCCTGTTCCTATGAGGGACATCAAATAGCAATACTGTGTCTTTATTCTCCTGGGGCTCATTCACTGGAGTGAAAGCACCATAACTAATACAAAGAGTAACTATCCCCAAGAAGATGCTTAGAATGCCATACTGTAATAGGGGGCCTTCTTGAGCCCATCTACCAATGGCCCCGCCTACCTACCTAATGATCTTAATTAGGTGGGAGGCTGCCCATTTCTTGCCCCAATGCCAGGGGGCGCTATCTGCGGCTCCGTTCCTCCCTTACACCCCAGCCCATGCTTTGCAGATGGCATCCACAGATGTTAGTCTCACCGGCCCCACACTGGGCTCCAGAATCGTCCAATCAGGACCCCTCTAAGAACCCTCCATTCAGCTGGCCTACCCCGCCCTCATTCAGGGCTGCTTTGCTCCCTGAAACTATTTCCCCTCTCGGGCATGGTCCTCCTGGGACCTTTGGCCACACAGGCCCTGGCCTCACCTCCAAGGCCAGTTGGAACCCCAGGCCCTCAGCTCTGGGCATCCCTTGCGGTGAGCCCCTGGCCCTTTTGACCATTCTGGTCCTGGCCCCAGCATTGGCCAGTCGAGGGTACTCTCAGTCAGGCCTCTGAGCCTCTAGCCCCACTCTCGCTCCTGGGTCCACATTCTGGCCCTACTAGTGGGTGACCCACCCAGTTGTGGGAGTTGGGGTTAAGGTGCTCCAACCCGCCTTTCACTGAGGTGGTAACTGGCCTGACATTTTCTGGGGGCTCCCACACCACTGAGAGCCCCACCAGGCCACCCACTCCTGGCATGGTGCAGTTTTAGGTCATGCTTCAGACCAGGAGCCTCCTAGCCATCCCCTACAGCTCCTGCCCTTACCTCCAGGATGATACAAGCAGCCTTACAGCCAGGCAATGTTGCTGCCTAGCCTGCCAGCAGTAAAATGCTCTGCTTATACAAGCAGCCCTGAATCTAAAATGGCTGTCTCAGTCAGTCACCTGCTGGCTGCTTGGCTTAGGTCTTAAAGTGGCAGGCACAAACAGTGCCCTGCCACACATACCTATGTTTAAATTTCCTAACAAATTGAGATCACATGTAAAGCAAAGCACTCAGTTTCTACCAGAATGCCACATTTAAAAAAATCATTGTATAAAGCAAATGGAAGGAGACACTATATGAATGTTTATGCTTCTATTTGTCTTGATTTAATAAAACACCTGTACTCATTCTGCAGTTCTTCACCCCACATACCTTTTGCCTTCACCCTAATCCAACTTTTACTTTTACTTTTACTAATTAACTAAAAATTCAGAATCTTGAAACATCTCCCAAAGTTATTTTTCAAGGAAAAGTTAGAGCAGAGCAGACCTCTCCCCTTCAAAAGACCACACAGTATGAGGGCAGAGAATACATGATTTCTCTTTTGAGTTTCCCCTCATGGATGGCTCAACTTTGTCTATAGGCCCTTACAATACAATAAATATTCCACTTCTATTACTTGGCAACCTTATGTTTGAAATTTTGGTATCCTGAATTCCGCAAGCTGTCTGGCAAGAAGGCAGGCTCAGTAATGAACATTGTGATGGGAAAAGTCCTACCAGTGGAACAATGAGAATTACAAATAAACATTGTTGCATTTACTCTTAACATAGAACCTTCAGGTTATTTGTTTTTCCCTGATAATTGCTTTACTATAATAAAGCAATGGCATTTCACTGTTTTATTCATAAAACTGTATCTATTTTGTAGAATCATACTCCTAGCAGCTTGCAGTATCTGGCTCCCATACAACAGGAATGCATCCTGTTTTGGGTAAAGGCTTCTTTAGTATATTTTTGTCAATAGGCACAGTCTAAGTGTTTTCACGGAATGCCTCAATAGTGCTTAGTTTCTTGACTTGCAACAGGGGAGAGAAAGTGGTTTAACCACACTGGAGGTGTTTCCTATGTCCACATCCAACTTGAAGATCCAATTCAGGTTATCATGTGCATGTGTTAGGCCCCTGCCACATTACATATATTATGCATTTAACTGGTTAATCATGCAATAAATTTAAACTGGCCACATATGCACAGTAAGACAGGCCACAAGTGCAAAGTAATTATCTCACAGTTAACTGGCTAATCATGCAATAAATTTAGACCAGTGATACTTGCCAAGTAATTATCACACAGTAAAAATGATTGTTCAGCTATAAAAAGAGCCAACCACTATGAAGTTAGTGCTTGAAAATGTGTAACACCTCTATAGCTAGTTTTACCTAGCTTAAATTTGAAAGTGTAGCAGGGTCCTTAGAGGCCTGTGAGAAATTTTAGGCAGAAAAGTTAGATAGAAGAACTTGAGCCTATTAGATAGTCTCTATGTGAATATTAAAGTCTCCAAGAGAACTGGAGTGTAAACCTCATAGTCATGCCAGACGGTCTCTTGCAGCACTTCTGGATAGAGTTTAGAATCTGCAGCACTTTTGTTGTCTGGAGAATTATTGATAAAAACAATGTACAGGGTTAGCTTTGTCTCTGAGTCTATAGTTAAAGTGAGAATACTCAAAGGATTCTGATTCAGTTGCTATAATAATGTATGCAAGGCCCTTGAAAACTGAAGAAGACTGCAGTGTTTTGAGAGCTTTGAGCCTGGAAGTGAACAGAATGGCTGTTCCACATCTTGGTCTGTTTTGCATTCTGGGTCTCAGCCCATAAAAAGAAAGACATAAACTCACATCAAGACCTTCAGTATCAGCTAGATTTCTGCAATACAGTCCACATACAGCAGTTACTCTATAATGAAACTGTTCATAGTTAGGGCCATGGATCCCAAGCTAATCATCTTTGTTCATTTTGAGATTGGGGCAAGCAGCATTGCAAACTGGGACTTGGGCAGACTGCCTGAGTAGTGGGGGCCAAAATCTGAAGAAAAACCTGAAAAGCAGAGCCAAGAGACAGCATGAGAAAGTGAGTTGAGACTCTAAGCCAGAAACTGTAATCACACATTGAGTCAAGTGTCAGAAACCAGGCAGTCCAGGGCAATGGCAAGGGTGACAGGGCTAGGTCGGAGGCAAGCCTGGGGTCAGAGTCCAGGGAACAAACAAAACAGGAGCCCAGGGGAAAGCAAGAACCATGGCAGGAGCTGAGGACCAGGCTGTGGCAGGTTCCATGGCAGGTGCTGGGAACAAGAATGAGGCATTAACTAGGACAAGGGCCAGAATAAAACCAGGGAAACAAGGCTTGACAGCAGTCAGAGACTATGTGTAATTCTAGACTTGCAAAACGTTGAACAGGCATCATTCTGTTTAAAGCCCTGAGCTTTTCTTGACACTCAGCTGCCCGTAGCCAATAAGTCAATCAGGCACAGTTGAACCAAATTAGGAATGTGAATTACAAATAAATCCAGAATCAGGCAACCCTAAGCAAGTCTTAATCTTTGGGCAATCCTTTAGCCCTGAGAAGTAGCCACTTAGTGACTGTATCAGTTTGTTGTGACTGCCTAATGGATCTTTCTTCCATGCATTGGCTGGCATTTCCTGATGAATTCTTCTGGGTAAGATTTGTGTTAGGGAGAGACACAGGAAAGGGGTCACTGTGACCCCTGTGTGTGCCAGTTACCTACAGAATACCAAAACTGCTTAGTTCCCCCAGAGACTAAGTTACGGTGGGAGTGTCTACATGTTGCCATATGGCGACATTGCTCCAGCAC